ATACATTTTGTCACATCATTGCTAGGTCATTGGCTTCCCAGGCTTGTGCCTGTTTTCGTGACATACCTTGTGCCTTTGAGCTTATTGTCACCAGGCATTGGAGAATGCCCATTGGCGTGAGACATTCAGTGACTATGCAGTTACATTTACAGCTATTTGTAAGGTTGCAGTTTCATTAATAGCCACTCATCTTTTCAGTTTTTGTGCCTTTCTATAAAGACATCTAAAACCCCATGTATTTTTCCAGATCTTTTCAGCTTTCATGCCATTTTATTTTATTTTATTTTATTTTACTTAGTTTATTTGTTATGTTATTTGAATGAGAACTTTCAGATTTCTGAAGTAAGTGTTTATCAAAGAGCAAAGAAAACAATGACTCATTCCAGGTATTTTGGACTCTATTTTTATCTTCAGAGGGGGCATTAAGTAGGTGTGTTTTTTCCTTTGTTTTTTTTTTTTCATTTATTTTTATTAGTTGGAGGCTAATTATTTTACAATATTGTAGTGGTTTTTGTCATACATTGACATGAATCAGCCATGCCATTTTCTATTATATTTTTGTAGTATTTTTAAGCTCCCTAGCATGGAGCTTAAGAAGCTATGCACCTTCTTGCTCCTTTGGATGTTTTTTTCTCTGTTGGATTTGTGGGGAAGGATGCCCTTCAGGCCAGCTCTCCTTTTGCTCCACATTTCCTCTTTCTCTTCCCCGTTTTTTGGGTTAAAGTAGTATACAGAACACCTCTGCATCTTCTAAATTTTTCTGTCATTGCTCATTGCTTCCCTTCTCCATTTTTCTAGTCTTCCAAGGCTTCTTTTTTTTGCTAATTTGGGTACTGGTTTTTTTTTTTTTTTATGTTTCTAGCCATTGTTGCTTGTTATTTGCTTTTTAAGTTTTCTGATAAGAGAAGAATATTCATCCTAAGACTTTCTGAAGGCTAAGATGACTCAGGAATAAAATCTGCAATGTGATTCCTCCCTTCCTCCCACCTCAGACTTGACTTTATTTCATATGGTGAGGTTTGCAGGTGTGCAGCTTTTTCCACTAACAGCCTTCAGGGTTGGGCACACTTTTGTGGCTATAACCGACTGAGGTTGTCACTAAAATAAAATAAGAAATAAGGAGGTTATTACCTTGCTGCTCCTCTGTTATGTTACCTGAGATATAAATAATGTTTGCCAAGGAAAAACAAAAACATTGTCACCAGAAGATGAATTCTTACCCTTCTCCAAGCTTTAAAATAAATTTTTGCAGAATTATAAAGTGGGAAGGGTGTAGGGCAGAGAAAGCAACCTTTTAAAACAAAGTTCAAATCAATAATAATTAACATTCACTGGCCTCTCTTTTCCTGCTAATAACTGAAGACAAGTACTAATTAGAGAAGCCTCAAGTGTCTGGATTTCTGGATGTACCAGATGGCTGCATGAGAACTATGCATCGTGCCAGGGAGAAGCCTGGGTTGCTCTTAGCTACCGCCTCCCCTCCATTTTGATCTTGTCTGAGGATCCTTAAACATGCCCATCGCTGTACACTGAGGCTTTTTCTTTGTTCTTTCTTCTCTTGTCTTACCCACTTCTGGTTTCAGGAGGTACATTTCTGCCATGCTTAGTGAGTGCTCTTGTAAGCATTTATTTTTACTTCTTCCTTAACAAACTCTTTTCTTTTCAGATTTCCTTTGACTCTTATGCTTTTGTCTGATGTCACCAGATCCTTCCCTCTCTCCCCATTTGTTCTTTTTCAAGATCACACAAAATGAGCACAGAACCCTTCAGTTGCTATCATTAATATAGTTCTGCCTCTTCTTTTTTTTTTTTTTTGGTAAACTCTTTTCACAGATTGTCTGAAAACATATGTTTTCTTCTTTGGGTTTGTACTTCAAATATTTTCTTCCTCTGTGATTAACTCTGCTAACGAACTCTGAGAAAGCTTTGATTTTTGTATAGAAATTTTCAATCCTGTTGAGTGTTGATATTATTTTGACAAATGCTGCCTGTGCGTTTTCAACAAGATGAAAATCATTCCTATTAGTATGACAGAGCCTGGAACTGATTACGCTTAACTAGATTCTTGCTTTTCATTGGAGTTGTTTTACTGGGACACATTCTTTCACTTCATTTGTTGTGAAAGTCATGATAAAGTTGCCCTTGATAAAGAAAATTGGTCTTGATTTGGTGTTTTTTTGTCAGAACTTTCTCTGATGGAACCCAGAAGAAAGTAGAGATTGGTTACCATCAACATTTTTGGCTAAGTGAGAAGTATGACTTCCTTTCTTTCCCCATGTGTTTCTTGCTCCTGCTGAAGGGTCGTTGCAGGGCAACCAGTTAGGAAGCTGATGCAGTGATTCAAGCAAGAGCTAAGAGGGCCTGATCTTTTGGAACAACGTAAGGCAGTGAGAATAATATGCATTTTCTTAAAAAATGTAAACAAAAAGTTTTTTTAACTTAAATTTCATAATGTTGTAAATGTTTTTAGAGTTTAGAAACCACAGTTTTTAGGGCTCTATTTTCTTTTTAACATGTCCTTTTGATATATAGCTAACTAAGCAATATATCACATCCTCCACTTAATGTGTTTCCTAGTTTTGGAAACCATCTACTTGATGTCTATTGCAACTTAAAAAAAAAAAAAAACTTGCATGTTTTTCACCTCTTGATTATAAAAGTAAAATTAAACAGAAATAACTTGTACTGTCACCTAAGGATAAAAATTAACATTTCAGTACTAGTTTCCTTTGGTTTTTCCTCTTAGTTTTTGTAGCTATGTAAATAATTGTTTGAGCCAATATATTAGTCTCTCAGTCATGTCCAACTCTGTGATCCCATGGACTGTAGCCCACCAGGCTCCTCTGTCCATGGAATTCTCCATGCGAGATTACTAGAATGGGCTGCCATTCCCTTCTCCAAGGGATCTTCCCAACCCAGAGACTGAACCCGATGCCATATATATTTTAGTGTTATTCTACTGTTGATCCTTTAGGTTGTTCCCAACTCCGTTTTTAAAAAAATGTGTGTGTGTGTGTGTCTGGCTGCCCTGAGTCTTCAATACTGCTGTGCGCAGGATTTCTCTAGTTGCGACGTGAGGAGGGCTGTGCTGTAATTGCCCTGCGGGGGCTTCTCTTGTGGTGGAGTATGGGCTCTAGGTTCGCAGGCTTAAGCAGTTGTGGCTCAGAGTACTGGCCCAGTAGTTGTGGCTCACAGGCTTAGTTGCTCCATGGCATGCGGGGTCTTCCTGGACCAGGAATTGAAACTGTGTTCCTTCCCTTGGCAGGCGGATTCTTGAACAGTACATCACCAGGGAAGCCCCAACTCAGTGTTATTTTAACAGATGCTGTGGCCAGTATTTTCATGAATAGTAAATCTTCACACATATCCTCAGTATAATGGCTTCATTTATATCCTTAGAATAATATCCTCAGGATAAATTTTTTAAAGTCGAGAATTTCTTTGAAAGCTTGAGTTGAAGTGTAAAATGTGAATGAACCCTAATGGATGAAATTTCTGGCTTGTTGAAGAAGTGGAAGTAATGCTTAGTTGCTCTGCATTTCCTATATCCACCTCCTGTTTACCTGATCCCTACCTTGGTTTCAGTAGATTAAAAAAGAATCAATATGCAGGAGGCCTAATAACCTGATGGATATGTAAAAAGTGAGGGCTATGTTCTTGATATATCAGAGTATAGAGAAATTTGGAGGAAAAGATACAGAGCACAGTGATGGGGATCCCCCTGCCTCCCCCTGATTCATTCTCAGATGAATATTAGATATACATCTCTACTTACTATTTCATTTTTGGATTCCCACATGTTTACTGACTCTTCCTTGGACTTTTTTTTTGATCAGAGAAGATGGTTTTTATGTACCATGACCTGTTTTTTTTCTCAGCTATTTGAGAGCTATGCATAATAATGAAATTGACTCTTGTTAATCCCCATTATTCTTTCATTATGGGAGGAGTATGATTTGGGCATACATGGTAGAATAGCATAAAAAGGGGTGCTTAACCTCAAAAACTTCTGAAGAGTTCCATTACTAGTTTAGGAGACAAATATAATACAACTCCCTTTGTACCAGTCACTTCCTTTGCAGATAGCTCTTTGCTTTGGGTATGACATCTATTAAACTGAGTACTCTCAGTCTTCAAGATTAATATTTTTTCTTGGCACCAGAAAGATAATTTTTTTACCTCAACAATGTTGATCTTAGTTGATCCTTTTTACTCTGAGGGTTTTTTTTAATGTTGATATAAAAAATTATTTATTTTGTCCTTTTTAAAAATGAGTTTTAAAATAGCAGACTGACTTGGGACATTTGGTATTGCTATAAAGTACACTTTTGCTGTATGAATAACTTTAATTTTTAGAATTTCTAGTTGTTAATATTTTCTTTTTCAAATTTCCATATTGAAATTAATAATCAATCTTAAAGTAAAATTATTTCAGCAATTGCAGTTCTCTCACGATCCTAGGAAGCTAATAACAGGAATAATTTAAAATGGTTACAAATAGCATTTGTGTCTATATTTAAGAAGCAATTGACCAAGCAGATGTTGTTACAGATTTTTGTCTTTGATATGATAAATTTCCATTAATTTTGAAAATCTGGGTTTAAGGGATGTGCTTTCAAATTTTGCATAGTTGAGCTGCAATTTGTGAAAGTTCAAGCAGCTGTACTGACAAACGTTTGACAAATTTGTAGCTGAGGCTGTTTTAAGCAAAGTTCTAGAACTTTATGTTCTGTGTTTTATGTTCAGGCCATGTATTTGAATTTCTTCTCTTTTTGTGGGTCTAGAAGTTTTTGTATATGTATGTATGTGTGTATTCTTTCTCTCTGATGTATATGTAGATTTGTATATGTATATTTGTATTATATATATATATATATATATATATTTTACATTGTGTGTCCAACCTAAGTTGGAGGTAAAGATGCATATTCTTCATTTTTTTAATAAAAATAGTCAATTTAAGCTCTCATTTAATTTAAAATATTTTTCTTTTTGCGTAGGTTGAAGAAATTGTCGATATTGGATCATTTGCCCCAGAAGACATTCATATTCCTAAGATTTATGTACATCGCCTTATAAAGGGAGAAAAATACGAGAAAAGAATTGAGGTAATTGACTTACCTTGTTTGTCAGTATTTATGGATCTGACTGTCAAAGAGATATGTCCCTGGAGATATTCCAGATGATAAGGAATTAAAGCTGAACAGGAAGTCTTGATTTGAATCTTAATAGAAGCTTCTCATGTGTCCATCTTGAGGGGATGTTTGTCTGTCTAGCTTAGCAGTGCCTTGTGTTTACGACATGTATATCACTAAGTTACATGATTCTCTAGACTTTTCTCACAGGCTTTTGTAACTGTTCTAATTTATAATGCATAGTTTTGGATGGCTGTCCTGAAAGGTGGAGAACAATAATCAGGTCTTTGCTTGCTTCACCCCTGCTGGACTCTTACTGTTTGAGTGTTCAGAGCTAACTATCCTGATGTCTTTGCATGTTTTCCCACAGTGTTGAGCTCTGGGCAGGTGGTGGATAGATATGAGATCATGGTAAGGAGAGGCTACAAGGAGCATTGGAGGTATATACTAAGGCTACTGAGAGCATGAAGATCAGCTGGATCAGAATCGATGTTAAGATTCAGAAATGTCTAGGGATCAGCAACAGAATAGACAAGCAGTAAGAGACCAGAGATTCAGAGATGCCCTCTACCTGTTGACATCAAACAGGAAGACACTGCAATCTAAAACTAATGTCAGGGGCCAGGGATCAAAAAGAGGACATTTGCAAACAGGGACCAGAGTCTGTATCAAGGAGATCTAGTGATGGAAATAGTTTTTTGGCTGGTTTCTGGATATTTCTAAGATTTCTGTGATGCACTTATAGCAAAACCAGTCTCGACTCTGCAGGTGGAAATAGGCGATTGGCAGCAGCAATGCTTGGTAAACACATTCTGACAGCCCCACAAAAAAAACAGTTGAAAGGTCTGTTTGTTTTCTTTGTTCCAGCTGTATCCCTGAGCACCCGAGGAGAATTCAGCTGTAGGACTCTTAAGAGTAGCAGTAGGAGCACTCAGTGTGGCAGTGACGGAGGAATTATTCGCTTCAGAGATAGAACAAGTGTATCTTCCTCTTCAAACAAATCTGACCTTTCGGTTACTTCCTAAAGAATTATTTCTATCATCAAGTGTTATCCATGTTACTCTTCTTTTGTTAAAAAAACCATCTATATTATATTGCAGATTTGCTTCCTGTTAGTAATGGGGGAGAGTTAAAGTTTTTTCCAATACAGTTTCGTATTTCAGCAGTGATAAAATAAAAGGCATACCTCAACCATGAATAATTTATTTCTGTTTATTTTAAAGCGTTTATCAATCCGGAAAGAGGAAGATATAAAAACCACATCTGGTAAACCTGGAGATAATGTCAGGGAACGTATCATCAAGCGGGCAGCTCTTGAATTTGAGGATGGCATGTATGGTATCCTTTATTCCTTCTGTGGCTGAGCAAAGACTTAGCCCTTTTTACATATTCATCAGGTTACTAGACTTCCTGCTTAGGGATTCTTTTCTAGTCCATTGTAGCTTCTAAAGCAACTGATCAGTTTTTACAAAATGTGGCATATAAACTAAAGATATAAAGATAAATGAAATTGAAATTATAATTCTTTTACCTTCTTGAAGCAAAATAGTGACTGAAAATTTGCTTAGCTATTCTCTGACATACAGTGAATTTCAGTTCAGTTTGGCATTTGGCTAAAGTTAATTGGGAAAAGAGATTACCCAAGATGAAAGTTTAACTTCTCAGAAGTACTAGTTGTAACCAACGCTATTTGCTTTCTCTGTGTTCTGACATTTATGTACTCATTTGAAACATAAGATCCAATTTCTTAACAGCCTCTTGTTTCCCATGACAAAGATCCCTGTGAGTGTACTCTTTTATGTCTGATGTTTTGTATTCAATGAATGATTCAAATTCTGCTTTAGATACTTTGTTAAGAAAGAGGTAGATAAAGTGTTTGGATTTTGAATGTGTTTAAATGTCAGTGAGTCTTTTTGCCCTTTTGCTAATTTTTGAGACGTTAACCATTGAACTATATAACACAAATAATATTACATATACATTCAAATAATGTATGATAAGGTAAATATTTGTTGAATGGTGAATACAGTAAAGCCATACTTAAAGTCCTGGGACAGGAAGTAGAAACATAACATGTGTATCCATTCTCTGAACTTCCTCTAGTCCATAAAAGCCTTCTTTCAGACTGATATTGACTGGGAAAACTCCCTTTTTTTTACTTTCTTCTTGCCTCCATCACTTCATTTTTTTTTTAATCTTTCAGTTTATGCATTGGTTTATGGTGGGAATTCGCACAGGGAAGAGAATATTATAGTGCCTCCTTTTTCAGCTTCCATATCAGCAAGATACAGACAGAGTCAACCAGATTGGCTGAGCAGATGAAAGCTTGTCTGTGGGTTTTCTTTTTACCTCCAGTCAACTGGTTTACCGTTGGCATTTTAACACTGACTATATGATAACTCTGATTTTAGAGGTGTTAGCTTTTCTTCTAGATATCCTTTATTCACTGTCATTGTGTTGCCTATGAAGAATATTTGCAAGTCAGTTCATGTAGTGGTCTTTCCACAGCACCTGCTCTTTTTCAACCCAAATTGCATGGACTTTTTTCTCCGTGGTATTTGACTCACTAAATAATATTAAAGAACTGAAAATTGCAGCATATGATAAGAGATTTGAAGTATAAAACTTGTAATTTGGATTGCCCTTTCTTGAAAATAAGCTGCTTATAATGGAATCAGTACCTCACTGTGTTACATGCATCACTGTGAGAAACACAATTAACTGTACGCCAGATGGTTTGGTAGAAGGTAATCCAAGTAGCTATCATCGTAGTTTCATAGACTCACTATGTTCACTGGAGGTGACCTGGCACATTGGGTTGTTTTGCTGGCCTTTGTAGTTTATAATATGGTACCATGTACAAACTTTATCTTTTCTGGCCTTGATTCTTAAAGCACTCCCTGTTATTAGAATCTCATCAGAGTGCTGTTATTCTTTAATTCTGTAAGAGTCTATGGTGTGCAGTAGTGGACAGCATGGACAGCAGTTCCAGACAGTGTCAGTTGTTGTTGTTTTTTTTTTCTTTTGGGCCATGCTGTAGCTTGTGGGGTCTTAGTTCCCCAACCAGGAATCAAGCCCAGGGCCACAGCAGTGAAAATGCCAAGTCCTAACCATTGGATGCCAGGGAATTCCCACAGTCAGTCAGTATTTCTGATCTGGTCAGCTGCTTTGATCTTGAGAGGCAAGATCAAATTCACAGCACAGCATACAAGTCAGGACTTTGATCATCTGAAGAAGGTTTCATAGCCTCAATTAGCTCTTTTAAAAAAATTGATTGAAGTATAGTTGACTTACAGTGTTGTATTTCATTTCTACTGTACAGCAGAGTGACTCAGTTATGCATACATAGATTCTTGTACAGATTGTTTTCCATTATGGTTTGTCATAGGATGTTGAATATAGTTCCCTGTCCTGTACAGTAGGGCCTTGCTTTTTATCCATTCTGTGTATAATAGTTGGCATCTGCTAATCCCAGTCAGTTAGCACTTAGATGCTGTAGCATAGCTTCTTTTTAATAGATGGTCTCAGATGTATTCACTGAAACTTAAGCACCCCACCATCCTCTTTATGTCTTAGAGAAGTTTCAGTTACCAGTGGATGTTATTACAGTGACCCAAAGGAATCCATACAATTTAGGTAGACATTTTGGTGTTGTCAGAAAACTTTGTTAAAATTCAAACACAGAAGCCCCTTATAGAATATTTTAATCATCTTTAGTCTCAGTTGGAGTTTCAAATAGTGAAAAATGCTTTTAAACAAAGCTCAGGCCGTGTTATATCAGTCAGCAGTCATAGTACATATATCATAATATATTAGCCCTAATACATAGTATATAAGTCATAATACAATCCAAATATTTGCTAAATGTATCTTACAATAAAAATGACCTTTTGATTAGTTTTCTGAAGCCACTACTTTGATAACTGCATGGTGAAAGCTGTGATTATTTGAGAGATTTTGTTTTTGAAAAAATTACAAAATGATACCTAGAGAGTGGTGGGAGAATACATTCAGAAAAAATGCCTTTAAACACTTCTGTGCAGATTTATTCATGTAGAAGATTTATGACATAATCTCTCTACCTTCTGTACGTTGGACCTTAACATCTTTTATTCCAGCCAATTTGGGTATAGGAATACCACTTCTGGCCAGCAACTATATCAGCCCCAATATGACTGTCCATCTGCAGAGTGAAAACGGAGTCCTGGGTTTGGTAAGACAGAAATTAAAGCTTTATTTATCCAGTCTCGATGGAAAATGAGATATTTTATGTAGTGCAGTCTTCTTAGAGTTGTTAGCGTAGATTTTCCATTCTTATTTTTCTTTCTCTTTTATCCTCATAATAAAATGTTTAACTTTTCCCATAAAGTGGTAGTACTTATGAACATGTCCTGTCATATTTTATGGAGTAGATGGTAGTTTCCCGACTCCATGAGCTTTTCAATTGCTCCTCATTTATCACTGTATGAGCTTCCATCTCCCCTATTACACCCACTTCAGAGACCTCACACCAGCCTGTTCAGGTAAACTATTATTAACCTTTGTGTGATTGCACAAGATAATGAAGGTTATTAATAATTCTACATTAAATAAAAATCATCAAGTCTCAGCATGAGAAACTGAAGAGTAATTTTCTATTGATCCTTTAGAACAGGACATTTTTTGACAGTTGGCTAATTCAAAAAGTTCTCATGTAATAATCATTTTGAGGCCATGTTGTTCAAAAGGGTAGAATTTTCCCTTTCTCAAGAATAACTTTTCAAATGGGCTCAATATTGTCATAGAATTTGACCATTCCTTTTATTTTAATATTTATTTAACATAAAATTAAATACTTTAGCTTCCTGAATAACTTTTATTTACTTATTAATTATGGCAGAGATTACTTATAGTCTGTCAATTTATAATATTCCTAATCTTTTATTGTTTCTCAGTAGATCTTAACTGTTAATGCAGTACAAATCATACATATGGAAAATGTATATCCAGCATTTAAAATATAAATTATGGTCATGAGCATGTAGTTTATTCTGATTGAGGCAATGATTGTGACCATTTTTGAGAACACAAAAATGGTAATAGTCTGGATAAAAACAGATTCATACTGCAAAGACTCAAACATTTTTCAAGTTCCTTTGAGATTATCTAGAGTGACCAGATCCCTTATTTTGAAGACAAGGGAAATAAGTTGATATGCGTAACTATGATCACTGTCTAAAGAAAATTTTACACAGATCTAAAACATTAGTTACCATTTCAGTTTTTTTAAAGAATACATTTTTTATTCCATTTTTTGAAAGTATGTTAACGTTTCACAGCCACTATTTCCTCTTTCTTGGCTCTAACTTAGACCTTTTCTTTTCTCTTTTCTATTTCCTCTCTTTTAGTTTAATATATGTTATGTTATGAAACTGCTCACCCTGTTCAAGTTATTAGAGATGGTTTATAAAAATACATAAAAAATAAAAACTTAAGATTATCAGTCAAAGGGAGAGTAAGGGTATCAAAAAGATGAGACTTGCTTCTTCAGATCCTTTTAGCCCAATAAAGTAGCCATTTAGTTTGTGTTCATTGGTACACTATAGCATAGACTGCATAGCAGATACTAAATAGTTACTTTTTTATTGACCTGTATTTCCAGTAGCTTAACATTTCTTTCAGACTTTGGTAGTTTGAAGAAACTATTTTTCACTTACCAGATCACACTTATTAGCACAGAAGAGACTAATCAATGTGAGAAACAGAGCCATGAAACATCAGGATTACTTTGAAAAGGTTCACCTCAAGTCTTCTGATAATCATTTCCTGAGGTTTTAAATGAAGTTGTGTTCATTAAAGTTTTAGTGTGTGATTCAGTGAGAAACTTCTTTTCCTAACTGGACGTGTGCTTTATTTAACAGGGTCCATACCCATTAAAAAATGAAGTTGATGCAGATCTAATCAATGCAGGTAAAATAACTCATTACATGTGCTTCCAGCATTTTCCTTTGCTATTAGTTTCGTTATCTGCCAAATGGTATTAGAGTAAGGAGTTGGGCTTGATTCTTTGATGTTTCCTGGAGAATATGCACTGTACTTTACATGGAGGAGGTGAAAGAAGCCTTCCCACTGCCATCTTGGCCTGCTTGCCCATCAGAGGCCTCTCCTATTTAGGGCAGAGTAAGATATAGGAGAAATTGCAGGAGGGGCTACATGAAATGGCAGGAGCTTTGGTGGGCCAATCAGGCGCCACCCTGACTGTGCACAGAAAACGCTCTCAGGTTGGGTAGCGAGGAGAATTAAAGGAAAGGATAGTTTACAGGTGTCATCAGGGTTAAGGCACACCAGAAAGGATGCTGAAGTACCACAGGGAGTTTTTATCACTCTTGGGCCTTAAGGGGCAGCCGTGGGAGAGGGTCACCAGACAGGAACCAGGGTCTTTGTGGGGGAACACAACCATCTTGCAGAAAGCTGGGTGAGGGTGAGAAAGGGAGTCTCCTTTCTCACCTTGCTTCTTGCTCTGTCTCCTGCTTGTGCCTCCACTTGGCTGACCCCAGGCCGAACTATATCTGTATTCTCATGATGAGAAGGTGGGAAGTGGATCCATGGTAGCAGCCAAAACCAAGATCTGGGGCTCTGGGGTTTTTGTTGTGGGTGATACGTTCTGTCCTCTAATCCAGGGGTCCCTAACCACTAGTATTCAATACCTGATGATCTGAGATGGAACTGATATAATAATAATAGAAACAAAATGCACAGTATATGTAATATGCTTGAATAATCCTGAAATCTTCTCTCTACCCTCTGGTCCATGGAAAAATCGTCTTCCACGAAACTAGTCTCTAGTGCTCAAAAGATTGGGGATTGCTGCTCTAATTGACATCAGAGTTAGGAGTTGTTTGTTGATTAGTTGCTAAGTTGTGTCCAACTCTTTTGTGACCCCATGGACTGTAGCCTGCCAGGCTCCTCTGTCCGTGGGAGTTCCCAGGCAAGAATGCTGGTTAATAGAGCATCCTTCAAAACTTCAAGGGTACTTAAGGATGTACTCTGCTACTCATTGCAATCTAGTGATATAGGTGATAAATATAGAGTTTCTTTGATTTGGAAACTCTAGCCTGTCTTCTCCTATGTTCTGGTATTCATACGCTTTGCCTTTTATTATTAGCCTTTTATTTGACTGGGACAGAGTCACACATTGCAGCAGCCTGGAGGAGGAGGGAAAACAGGTCAGACCTTTTGGCCTCCATCACTGCCTATACTTGAGGCAATACTGCCACCGTGTTGGAGCTAAAGATTTTCCTTAGAATGGAGCTTCCCATAAGCTTCCCATAAAATTAGAAGCTAATTTTTATATTCCAGCATGATTTTCTTTATCCTTCTTTTACTCCTATTCACTCTACCCCCACAAAAGTATAATTCTTACTTTGCATTCAAAAATAGTATGTGTAAATTTCTGAAGAGAAGCAACAGGAACTGAATATAAAGGCCAGCTGCCAAGTAGAATTGATGTTTAATACTTAGGATTTTTGGAAGTAAAACAGCTTCTGGTTGAATAGTTGAATTAGTTAACACGACTTAACTCTGAAAGGTGCAGTGTGATAAAGCAATGACATTTAACCAAGGCTGTGATTTAATTGTACTGTACCCTTTAGCAATAACTCATTGATCTGTGAAAATATTTGCTGCTTGGTTTAATTAATTTATGATGTTAGTGAGTTATTTGCAAAATGAATAACTCCATTTTCCAAATTTCAGGCTTGAGCTCATAAAACCCACTTTCTTTGGAAAGTAGTTAATCTTTTCAATGACATCATTGGAGAGTAGACATTTCTGATTCCACTGAGCTTAAAAGTAGCTCAGTCCTAATGAAGCCACCAGTTTAGATTTCAGCTTCTGAAATATCATATATAATCTTAAAGTACTTTGTAAAACCAGAATTCATTGCTTTTGGGAAGCCAGGCTGTAAATCAGTTTAATAGTATTCTGTCTCTTTCATCAAAGTCCTTTTTGGGATTTATGGTGCTTTTGCCTTTGGAGCTAAGTTAGAGGGGAAATACTTTGAACTCCAGAACCCAGAATATAAATTGATGATTTCCTCTACTCCCCAAGTTTGGACATAACCAGGAAGATCAGCCCATTGTTTGTGTTCATTTGAAAGGATTTTCATAGAAATCCATTAGAACAAAGACAGGGAGTTATGTTTCTGGGCATAAAAAGTGTATTAAAATAATAATTAGAACTATTTCTAAGAATACTTTTTTCTAAATAATTTTATATGGATATGTAACAATGAATGACCACTTGTATAGAACCACATAGTTTACAGCATATTTTTTCACATATATGATCAATATATCATTTGAGTCTCAAGTGAAATTTTTATACACGTTGGGAAACTGAAGCCCAGAAAAGTGAAGTGATGTGCTCAAGATGAGGTTGCTAGGGACAGATTCACATGTAGTCTCCTGCTGTTGGCCCCAGGCCTTTTTCTCTGCACATTGAGCTACATCCACTGATAACTTGAGAATTTACAAAGGTACAGAGGCAGCATTTAGAACATTTCTGAGGCCTCAGGAATATTCGCAGTATCCTAGTGCAATTGTGAAATTTCTAATAAATCTCATGTTAGCTTACATATTAATGTGCATTTTGCATTCTTTCTTATTTCTTAATATTTTTCTTATTTTAATATCAAAATGTTTTTAATGACTTCTTGTTCATTGTTCAGTCACTAAGTCGTGTCTGACTGTGCGAACCCAGGGACTGCAGCATGCCAGGCTTCCCTACCTTTTGATTAAAAAACTACTTACAAAGACTTAGCAACTAAACAACAACAATGACTTAGAAAGAACCGTGTTAATCTCATGGCTTTTGAATATCCTTGTTTCCTGCCATGTGTCTCTAGAGCAGTGGCTTTCAATGGGAAAGAGGGGTGATTACGCCTTTCTGGGGACATTTGATAATGTTTGGAGTGCCAGTGTTACTGGAGTTTATGCAAAGGCCAGGGATACTGTTAACTATCGTGCAATAATCAGAGCAGTTTCCAGCCCCCAACATCAGTAGTATCTGCTCTAGAGGTCTGTGTGCCACATCTGAAGAATTACAGGCCTGCAGTCTAAAGTACAAATAGTACTGCATTCAGGATCTCTCTAATGATTGTGATTGACCTTTCCAGATTTATCTTTTGCTATAGCTGAGTCCACCCATACTGAACTGCTCAATCTGTTCTGTTTCCTTCCTCCATGACTTAGCTCTTTCAGTGCCCTTCCTTTTTTGTTTTGTTCTATCCCTTCCTTTTTCATCCCCATCTCTTTATCAGTAATGCCTAGCCTTCAAGTCCTAGTTCATTTGCCCTCTCCAAATCCTCTTGTGGCTCAGAAGTGCTTCTCCTTCGAACCCACAACACATTAAGCATCTCATAAGCATACCATATTTTGCCTTGTTATTATTTGTGTATATTCATCTCTCTTGCTGGGTATTGTGTTCCTTTGGTTTAGGGTGTGCACGCTTGCTTGGTTGCTACAGTCATGTCCGACTCTTTGTGACGCTATAGACTGTAGCCCTCAAGGCTCCTCTGTCCATGGGATTCTCCAGGCAAGCATACTGAAGTGGGTTTCTGTGTCCTCCTCCAGGGGATCTTCCTTATCCCGGAATTGAACCTGTATCTCCTGCATTGCAAGCAGATTCTTTAACCACCTGGGAAACCCTTGCATAGGGCAGCAATTCTCAAAGTGTGGTTTTCAGAGCTACAGCATTGGCATCCCCATTACTGGGGACTGCTTAGAGATGAAAGTTCTCAAACTCTGGGAATTGTGCTCAATTTTATAAGCCCTCCATGTGATTCTGATGAGTGTTTGAGAACCATTTGTCTAGGGCATCTGCATTTTGTTTTAAGGCACAGAGTAAACATTTACTTGTTATTGAGTGAATAACTTATGTCATGAGCCAAATGACTAAATAACTATGCAATTGGTTAATTCTGGTGCCTGAATATCATTAGAGGATGTAGACATATACAGAGGAAAGTTGAAAGAGACAAATAATTAGGAAAAGCAAAATACAAAAGCCTTTTTTCTTTAAGATATTGATTGTATTATTGATTATAATTATTTAACCAAATTAGGACACTGTATTTGAAAAGCATTAATATCAACCTTAGGATATCCTATTTTATTTAGATTTTGGGATATTAAAAATAATGAAAATTAGCTTTTTTTCCAAAGAATATATTTATAAGATACCAGAATATATTACAGGGGCCTGACAATAACTTTCATAAGAATTATTTTCTGGGCTCTTTAAAAAATACTATCCTTGATAAATCACATGGGGAGATCGGAAGCTCTGTGTGCATTGATCTCAGAGTTTCCTTTACAGTAAGTGGTAAATAATGCCTCTATATACTGCCAGCCAGTAGAGATAGCCCTTTGGAAGTCATTTTGATTTATCACGTAGAGAACAAAGAATTGAGATTTTTGTTTGTTTGTTTGTTTTGCTTTTTCAGCCTACAAGATCTTCTTTGCCTCTCCATCTCACAGGACTGGAGAGGAACTGTATTTTCTGGACATGACAGTGGTGTTAGGATAAGGCTTAGTTGTATTCTGCTTGTCCTGAAACCTGGAGTTCACACGCCAGTATATAACCGTATCATAAAAGCTCATTGCTTGCCCCTGTGGCCTTTATCCCTAGAGGGTTGATGGCATTGTCTTTTTCACAAGTAGGTTTGGAGTGAGGAATAACAGTGAAAATAATATTAAAAATTAATGTTCACAGAGTGCTTTCTCTGTGCCAGGTCCTAGAGTAAGGGCTTTACATGCATGATTTCATTTAATCCTTCAAATCTTATGTGCTGTTTACAAACCAGCCCTTATTAATCACACCAGACAGTATTTTCCAAAGCTTTTCAGCTTTATGTTCCTTTAAAAGAGGTGAAAATGTTTCCTTTGTTTAGAATCAAACTTTTGGGAGTCAGTAAATAATTCATCATGATATAGATAGTCATGCTTTATATGTGAGCTCAGGTGGAGGGTGATATTGGTGAAGTTAGCTCTTGGACATGACTTGAGAAGTTGAGGGGATAGCTGTTGCACATCTGGGCACAGTCAGATTACTCTGGTCCTGTTATATCCAAGAACTTTGCTCTCTTCCAGTCTTGGAATCACTTTTCTTCCCCTTCTTCTTGTCTGCCCTATTACACTGGGGCAGTGGCATGCAGTGTCCTCAGACAGTTGACTTAACCTTTGGCAGAGTGGCATGTGAACACCTTTCTGTTGAGACCAGAAGCATCTCCTGGGTAGCTCAAGTTCCTGAATAGACAGGTTACAAGAACTAAGCAGCTCAGGTTTGAGTTAGGTTATATTATTGCTTGTGTAGGGATTGGATGACCTTGAAGAACTTTTCTAGTTCTGAGTTTTTATTATGGGATATAAGTGTTGGGAGAGGTCCTTCTAAGAGGACCTTTTCTGGTTATTAATAGAAATTTACCAAAGCAAGGGCAAAAAAGATGAAGCAGAGAAAGAGAGGTTGAAAGAAGAGATTCAGGCCCAGTGAAGTTAAGGAATTAGGTGGAACCTCTCTTTAGATTATTCATTGATTTTTAAGAAATATTTGAGAAGCATCTCCTGGTCATTCCCCTCAAGCTGTATTTCTTCATGTTTATTCTACAGTGTTTCAGTCCAGTGACTTACAGTAGCATTGGGTTCTGACAGGTGCATCCCAGGAGCCCCTTTCTTCTTTACTCCTATTTTTATTTAATAGAGGCTTGTGAAGGGACTGGGTCTGATGGGAGACAGAGATGGTTATGTAATAATAGGCAATAGAGAAGTGCATTGTCTGTAGAGAATTTCAAAACAATAATAAAATGAAAAGTTGGTCTACTTTTCACTATCCCCACGCAAGGGCAAATCTGAGCAATATTAGTGACAGAACACTTACCTTCATAGGTTGATAGTTCCCATTGTGTCCCCCCATACCCCTGTTGTTGCTGCATTTTGGTTAAGGGACACTTAGTTCTGTATGAAATAGAGAAGGTGTAGACCTCTGTCTCCACCATGATTTCCGCTCTTAGAAATCTAATAGCCTTTTCTTTCGTTTTCCCTGTCTTTGTATGTGTGTGTGTGTGTGTATGTAGGCAAGGAAACAGTTACTGTTCTTCCAGGAGCCTCTTATTTCTCCAGCGATGAATCATTTGCGATGATTAGAGGGTATGTAATAACGGAGCCCCTCATGTTTCTCACGCTGTGGAATGAGCTGAGTCATCCCTGAGTCTGTTAGCAAGACTCCGAAACATAACCACCTCTCCCAGCCGGAAAATGATCATGGACTTGCTTGGCTGCACCAAGATGTGAAATTATTCACATGAATGTTGGCAGTTGGAACATACAGCCCGCAATTATTAAAAGAACCTTCAAAGTGGAATATATGTCTGTGTGCCAACTAAACTGAAGTAAACATTTTTGAGGCTCTTTCTGAGGATCCTAACATTTTCTACAAACTTGTGTTTTCATTTTCTAGCTAGTGTTTCCTTCAAACCAAGCCACATTCTCCCTCACCAAAGGAAACAAACTCACTGTGTACACCTGTTTTTAATTTGTTTTTGGAGACAATATAGGCTATAATTTTTTAAAAGAACTCTTAATAGTTCTTTTTCTACATCAGCTTGAAGCCATTCTATTTGGAAATCAAGTGTTGGGTGGAGGAGAGCAAATATATTTGGGGGCAGGGGGAGTAGGATTATTTAATTGCTGGCAATTTCAAGCAAAAGGGACATAAAACATGGAAGTTTGCTTTATATTTCTTATTTGTCTTTCTCAGGGGACATGTCAATCTAACAATGCTAGGAGCCATGCAGGTTTCCAAATACGGTGACCTGGCTAACTGGATGATACCTGTAAGTAGGCATGTTTTCTTCTGAATTATGCCTGGGTTAGAATAATTGCTTTTGAAGTATTAATATTAAGAGAAATCTTGTCAGATTGCTATGAGTGCAAATATAATTGTTACAAAAATAAATATTGTAATATATATTTCTTATTTCAAATTTTAATAAAAATCAAATTTCTAATTCTCCTGAAAAATATTTAGCTTTGCCAGTTTACTATGTAATTGGAACTAAAAATAGATAAGATCAGAGTCAAAGCATAATTTTCCCTAGAAAAACAGAGAACTTCCTCAGAAGGTAAAAAATATGGGTTAATTATACTCTGATAAAAGTAAGAAATACAAATGTTTATTATAGCTAAGCTTTATAACTAGAAAGAGTAATTAATATGTTCATTAATTTTATGTTACTTGTATTATTTTCTTATTCACAGTGGTTAAAGTGCTCTCTTGGTTAGTCATGTGACCCCATGAGTAATCAATCACATTGTCTTCTAGTACCAAATACAAAACCTCTGATATTTAAACATGTCTGTGAAATGCAAACGGTTTTCATTTACTAACGATCTAAATCAAGGAAGAAACCTCTTTTTTTTTTTCATTTATTTTTATTAGTTGGAGGCTAATTATTTTACAGTATTGTAGTGTTTTTTGCCATACATTGACTTGAATCAGCTATGGATTTGCATGTGTTCCCCATCCTGAACTGCTTTGGAAAAAAGACTATAATCAGTTGATTTATGAGTGTAGTTCTTTACATTCCAGAGTGTGGTTCTTTATATGTGTGGGCAAACAACAATGAGTGTCCATGATTATGAGCTCATTTTTTTCAGGTTACTCTTTTAATGTGTATCTTTAAAGATTTCTGTTTCTCTGAAGCTTGAGCTAAAAAATATTTTAACTGAGGTTGGTGTTCTATAATGAAAGGTTTTTTGTTTTTTTAAATTTCTTAGTTTTTCCTGCTCATTTTTTGAGGAGGGTGAATTAATGTAGTTGATAACAATGGTAGAGATTGTATTAGTTTAGCTTTTTTGAACTATGATCTCTTGAAACATTATTTTAAAATTTCAGTTATTATTATAGTTCTGGTTCTCAAACTTGGTTGCATATTGGAAGCACCTGGGAATTTTTAAAAATGGTGATGCCTCTGGCCCATCATTAGTTTCCAGTTTAGTCTGGGGTATAACCTGGGAACTGGTCATTTTAAACGCAGTCCTGTATGGTGATGATACATAACCACGTTTGAAAACCAAGTTTGAGTGTATTAAAGAATGATCATCAATCATATTTAAAATGTAAAGGGAAAATATCATTGACCCATTAATAGTAAGAACCCTTAGCAAATTATGTATTATATTGTTTTTCTAAATTAGCCATAGTTATAAGATTTGGCAACTTTTGGAGGCTTCGAAGAAATCAGGGGGTACTGACTTATACAGTAAGTCAGATTGATACTTTATAGGAATGTTTATTTGTGTAGAAAGAGTGTATTTCTCTTTTCAAATTTTAGAAAAAGTCTAATAGAGGGTAGTAGAAGGAGCGTAAAATAGCAAGCCCTGAGTTTTAGCCCCGACTCTAAGGTTATAATACATATCATAGAGCTTGACACAGTATATGCTAGATAAATGGGTTGTTACTATTTGATAAGTTAAGAAGGAGAAGTTGGAGATGCCTGGCAGAGGGCGGAAGAGGATTGGTGACTATGAACAGAAGCAAGAGAGTTCAAAGTAGAGTCTATTTCTCTGGACTGTTAGTGAGTTTTAAAATCACAGAAACATGTCCAACACATTTTTGCTTTCAGGGAACTTGGGCATCTTTAACAAGCTACTATACAATTTGTTTTTATTATGATTTAGCACACAGTGAGGCTGGAAGCTGTCATGGTGAGAGTAAGCGTTATGCAGTTGTCATTTGTAGGAAAGATTTTCCAACATGTATCATGGTTTTACATATCCTATGAAGATTCCTGTGAATGATGAAAACATCAGTGTTTATTACTTTGTAATTTTCCTAATACAGTTTGGAGCTCATGAGTTTGCAAAGGACTGGATCTAGTGGAGCAGCGATAAAGAACTCTGGAGTTCTGAAGGGGTGTGGAGAAAAATTAAGCTTAAAAAGTGTTCTTGTGTCTGGTTCCACTCTTTTGGTCATGGAAGTTAATAGTGTCTTTTCTGAATGAGCATTTCTTTCGTTCTTTTAGAATTTTATTTATGGCTGTGCTGGGTCTTGATTGCTGTGCAGGCTTTTCTGTAGTTGTGGTGAGCGCTCCTCTCTAGTTGCAGTGGATGGGTTTTTCATTGCTGTGACTTTTCTTGTTGGAGAGAACGGTCTCTAGGCACGCAGGCTTCAGTAGCTGCAGCTCTCAGGCTCTAGAGCGCTTACCCACTAGTTGTGGTACATGGGCTCAGTTGATCCACAGCTGGTGAGGTCTTGCCAGATCAGGGATTAAATCCCTGTCTCCTGCATTGGCAGGCAGATTCTTTACCCCTGAGCCACTTTTGTTCTTTTAGTAACTGATAATCACTTCTGGGATTCTTTGTATGTGATACATGGTATATATTTTGATTCCTTTGGATTCAAGATAGCTTAAGAGTCAAGACCATAAGCTTTAATTTGGAAGAGATCTGATTTGAATTTCAGCTCTACCCGTTAAAAATTACACAATCTGGAGTACATGTTTTTGTTAGGATTAAATGAAAAGAAAATGAAAAGTGAAGACTCAAAGCACTCCATAAATAGTGGCTTTTATTTTTAACTTCTTCAATGTACTGTTGCTTAACATTGAGAGGGAATATTTGCCTCAAAAAACACTGGCGTAGCAAGACTGTATTTTACAATAACTGTAAAACCTGTGTATCCAAATTCATATTCAAGTACTAGATCCGAGGACACATTTCTTGTTTTTATTGGTTATGTCCTCCTTATGTAGCTTCAGTGAGCTATTTCTGTTTGCCCTAAAGATTTATGTTGATTTATAAAATTTAGATATATTTTTATTGCAAGACCTGGCAGTCAAGGCGCTGAAGGGTTCAGCTTTATTATATCATTTTTCATTTACTTTTATCTTTTTACTGAGTTTAATAATCTTTCAATGGTTGTAAAGTCTTGAGTTTCTCTGCATCGTAGCATCTCCATCAATCATTACAATGTCAGATTATAATAAACTTTAAGCTTTTAAGGCAAGCAAATGGTGTGGATGCTATTTGTCTTATCCTCTAATAGCTTCTTAGTATGCAGCATGGGTCCTGTTTTCACAGATTTTTGAAAATTCTGCCCTGAGCATACAAAGAGAGAAAATGTGACAGAACAGTGATTGGCTCTTTCTAGTTCTCTGATGATGGTAACCCCTGGCAAGCTGCAGAAATATGAGAAAATGTGCAGTCCATTGACTCTCCATCCAGAGCTGCTCTGGCTTTTCTAATGCTTATTTCTGGGAAATAGTTGCCATAGATGATAAACTTGTGAGGGGAAGTAGCTGTGTATGACCTACTATGGGAGCTGGTTATTAAAAGCATGCAATAGCTGCCCTCTGGACAAGTTGCTGTACCTGAGCTGAACATAACAGCCAAGGGCCTGCTCCTTCTACACAGGGAGAACAGAAATGAGGGATTCTTGGGAAAAACACAAATAGGATGGTTAGGTGTTTGTTTTTCCCTCATACTTTTCATTTCTTTGTGCATTTTAGAGGATTAAGCACAAATCGACATCATATTCATGTATGCTATATGTATGAGTGCATAACATTGATTTGGTCTCCTAGATATGATGCCTGTTTTAAATAAGCTAATTCTCTAGTTTTCCTATTTGTACAGCTGAGGGGAAGGGGTTGTGTTCAACATTTAATCTCGTGGTTTAGATGCATGAAGTGTAACCCATATATGAAACTGTAGGTACAGATACAGAAATATAAAGATTACAGTATGGATAGATACAGACATACAGATCTAGATAGATGTTTTGAGATACTGGTATCTTGTCCATTTGCCCCAGTGCTCAGGCAGCTGCAAATCATGGGCAAGGTAAAAGGACAGGTGGGAGATACGTGTGCTTCAGCAGTTACTCAGCAGTGCTTTCGCCCCATCAGTGTAATGTAAGAGAAGCTGTAGAGAACTTTGGGGTTAGACACGCCTGTTCTTAAGTACTGAAGTGAAAGTGTTAATCGCTCAGTTGCTCAGTCGTGTCCAATTCTTTGCGACCCCGCGGACTGTAGGCTGAGCTTTCCAGGTGGCACTAGTGGCAAAGAACTCTCCTGCCAGTGCAGAAGGCACGAGATGCAGGTTTGATTCCCTGGGTCGGGAAGATACCCTGGAGGAAGGCATGGCAACTCACTCCAATATTTGCCTAGAGAATTCCACGGACAGAAGAGCCTGGCAGTTACAGTTCATAGGGTCAAAAAGAGTCGGACACGACTGAAGTGCCTTATTATGCACGCAGAGGCTGCAGCCCTCCAGGCTCCTCTGTCTATGGAATTGTCTAAGCAAGAGTACTGAAGTGGGTTGCCATTCCCTTCTCCAGGGGTTCTTTCTGACCCAGGGAGTGAACCTAGATCTCCCTTGTTGCAGGCAGATTCTTTACCATCTGAGCCACCAGGGAAGCCTTGCTTAAGTACTGGTTCTGTCATTTATTGGTGGTGTAACAAATTAGGTGAACCTTGATATATTCATTTGTAAAATGATAACATTTAACTCATGTGCTTGCTTTGGGGATTAAGTTAGCTCATTCATTCAACAAATATTTATTAGATGTGTATTAAGGGCCATGCTCTAAATTTCTCTCTAAGCACTGTATAAGTAACATCCCACAAATTTTTGTCTATTTTGTTTTATTATTATTCTCTTCAGGATCTTTCTAATCTCCCTTGTGATTTTTTCCCATGACTTATTGGTTATTTAAAAGTATGTCATTTAATTTCAATATATTTGGTGATTTTCCACAAAACTTTGTGCTAATTTCTAGTTTAATTCTCTTGAAGTCAGAGTACATACTTTACATGGGTTCTATCCTTTTAAG